GCACTAGAGCGAGCAATTTCAGTGTCCAGGCGGACCACTAGCCGCCATCTTGAATCTCTCGAGGTGAGCGGGACCTGGGGAGAGTTCAAAAATCGTGGTTTAGTTAGTGGTTTGGCTCGTTACCAACCGCAGTAATCTAATACCTTGACTGTATTGTAAAAGTTTGTAAGGAATTCAAATCGATCGAAAGCTATGTCTGTTTTTCCTTCGAAAAGCTACTCTCAAGTTTGAAAGCCGCTTAACTGGTGTCCTTTTCTGGTCGCCCTAGAGATTCGGTGAACCATTTCTAGGTTGTTCGTTTTAACTGGGGTCACGTACCAACTGACTCTCTTAATTATTACGTGACTGAAAGTTATCCTAATTATTGTGTGACCGGCCGTTGAATAACAAAAATATCTCAAAAGAAGCGCTGGAATTAATTGGGGAAAGACATAAAAACGAGACCGCTTTATTGCAGTTTTCGAAGAGAACAGACATATTGCTACCGAAAGTTAACCTTCTTGTGAAGTAATTAATTCTTGAAATAAGTGCAAGAGCTATTGTCTGAGTCAAATGTCTGAAACTTTAGAAGATTATTCTGTCATCCGAAAGGAATTCTTGAAATAGTTATAAGAGCTATTGTCTGAGTTTGAAGTCTGAAACTTTAGGTTACTCTGTCATAAAGGAATGTCAATGCAGAAAGAAATTTCGAGCCACAACAATGAAGCCAACACTAAAACGGCGCCAAAGTAAGTCCTGAAGCTTAAGCTTCTAACATTTCTTTTCTGTAGCTGTTTTGAGACCTTTTGAGGTACCCAGCCGCCGACAGATTTTGCAGCAAACTTCAGTGAAGTGGGAATTAGGGAAGTCATATGTGTTTTTAAGAAGGGAGCATTTTCTTTCAATAATGCAGCTATAATGACAATTTTTGATTGGCAGGTGACTCCTTGTGAGTTTGTGGCGTTTTAGATTCAACTTTTTGCAGTATTTCAGAAAAAAATTGAGAAAATTTGAGCTAAACGCATTAAATTAGATGGGTTACTTTCAAATTCTCAGATCCCTAGCTATCTGCCATCACCGCGGATAAGCCCACTACGTTTACTTTAAAAAAAAAAAAAAACAAGTTCAGTTTAGATGGTATCTTAATCCATCAAATATTTTAGCTCTTTTGAAATTTAAGAAATTATTCATGATAATGAAAAATACTTAATTAACGTGAGAAGCTGTGTTGTCGCGAAAAAGACGTAAAATAGCGCTAAATAAAATAGCGCCGGCTGAACTGGTTAGGGTTAAATTTCTCTTGCAGAGTGTCTGGGTTCTTGAAAGAAAGTTTCTCTTTTCGTTTGAGAAGACGCCTGAACTTGGACTTGGCTATTGAATGACAAGCTGTTTTAAAAGAAATTTAACCCCCAGTAGAGTATTTTGAGCTGAATTTCACAACAGGAAAATCACACGCATGCGGTCAACAACGATTTCTATAAGTAAACAATGCTAGTATTTTCTCTCAACATAAGTAGAAGTTTAGAAAAAAACAATTTATTTTGAGAAACTTTAAATAATTAAACACTGATTTGTCAGGTTATCGGTTGCATGATACCAGAGGGGAATTTCGTATTACTATGATTCTTGGAGAAAAGAAATTTCCAAAGAGAAAACAACCCTGTGAGTCTTTATGTGTTACGCCTAGCTAGACTTAGCACAACACTCGAGTGAAAGTTGATAGTCGACCAGTTTGTAACGAATGGTTAAATATTTTCCTTAACTGAGTTTACGAAGCGAGGTCAAAAATTCGATGAAGTATTTTTGAGCAAACATTTATCAATCTCTGTTGGAATAGAGAAACAACTTAAGCTTCAGTTATACAGAGCATTTTTCGCCCAGAAACTGAATGCCTGCATGTTAGACGTTTGTTGAACTTGTCACTAACTTCGTCTATTTTCTTTGTCACTAAACTTGGCTTTCTGTAAACAAAAAAAGGCTCACAGATTGTCCCACATCACGTGTAAGCTTCTCGCCACAGTAAATACGTTTTTCTGTTATTCGTTGTATATTCATGCTGGAAAATTTCCTGAAAAACTTCCTGTGTTCGGTGGTAAAGCAATATCTTACAGAAGGAGACAGAATGACTGTGTTGAAAGTCACACCTGTGTGATTTTCGGAGACACAAGGTTGTGGTTCAGTCGATATTTTGCTAACCCGAAAAAGAGCCACGACCATCTCCGCTCCGATAATCTAGGGCCCTCGAGTATTCCTGGGCAGGCCAAAGCATTTCAACGTCCCTCTGAATTAGAACTTTCTAAGGAAACAACATTTCTTGTAAAGGTGAGTTCTTGTATAACAATTAAATATGATTTTTTTCATAATACACAACGTAAATAATGCGTATTATGCCACTTAATACCTCGCGCAATAAAAGCGTGAAAAACGTGCTGATTTGCAGTTAAAGGCAAATGGATTATATTCTTTTTATCTGTCTGTATTCTTCGGATTTTCTTTGCTTGAGTGATTTGGCGTGATGTATTATCAACTAAAATGAAACCTAGCGGGTATTTTAGGTAAATCGCAAAGACATTGGAGAAGATTGGTACAAGTTACCAGTTCAGTGTACACCATAAGTTGCAATCATAATATTTTCGCGCACTTTACTCTCAAGTATTCAGTTACTGTATGCAGAGTGAATTTGAGTGAAAAATTCTCGAGCTTTATTTTACACAGCCGGGCCCGCAACTAAAGGAAACCGACCGAGACTTCGTCTAGATACTAGACCATTTTGTTTATTACAAATTCTGTCACCTTTTGGCTCAAGCTCTCAACCACAAGAAAGGTTATCACAGAGCAACCATTAAGTGTTATTTACTCTAGCACCAATATTTACTAAAAATAATGTGGGCCACCGGTACATGAAGTTATCAAATTCGCTTAAAAACAAACGCGCAATTTTTCCTTTAAATTTTAGGATACTTGATCTTGCCTTGTCCATAGCATTTGTGAGATCTACAACTGCGTTTCTAACTTTGAACACGTGTTTTCAAACTTCGAACTTGTCCGAAATGTCAATTTGCTAATATTTTCCTTTTGTTGGCCTAGTTAAATTTGTCCCGCTTCACTACATTTCTCAGACAACTCAGAGACGAATTAAGCTTTATCAAAACATTTCAGTTGTGTTCTTCTACTTCTTTTTACACTAGGACGTTTAAAAAAATATCATGAAGGGTTTTTTAAATCGCATTTTTCCAATAAGTACATGTCCGTTCTGTAAATCCTGTACTTTCGGCCCCAGGAATTAAAATAAACAGTTTAATTGTTTCTGAAATACTTCTTGAGTTAGCCCTGGTTCCAGAACGTTAAGTGATCTATAGCCTTATGATTCTCAAAACTGAAGAAAACAAACGAGGTTTTGCGACTCAAACATACGTGCCGTTCACGTCAATTAAATAAGAAAACATCCCTGCTATTCTTTTCTAAAATGCCTTGATATTATTTCTTTTGTCATGGCTCCACTGATCAGCATTGTTCACTTAAACTATGACGCGAGTTTTGTAACTATAACAAACAGGAATCGACCTTCATTACTCATGTGTGGCTACGAAGATTTTACCATAAAAGGTATTGAGAATATTGTTGGTGATTCACGTAAGCTGCAACTGGCCTTATGAAACTTCGATTTTCCGTGTTAATTCTGGCTGTAAGCACTAACTCTTGTTTACGCCAATAGCCTGGCATCAAGTCTCGTTATCAGTTACGTTTCGCAGAGAAATTTCAAAAAGGTCAAAAGTTTTCCGATGTGGTAGTTTTAATTATTTAGAAAAAGTGAAAAACGCTGCGGGCAGTCTCGTACTTCGTGACCGTGAACTGATGCAATTTATGACTTGAACACATGGAATTATCTGCATGTCCTTTTAACGAGTCTTTCCTAAATTACAATATGTCATCTTTGAGTATAAGTTTGTTTTGTCCATTTTTTCTTTCATCTTTCATAGAACTATGCCATTCTAACCAATTTATTGCTGTTGTGTTCCATTGTACTGTCATGGTTATGGCATTTTATTTTGGGTGTGGTTATTTAAATGCATGAGTACTAGCACATTATTACCGACCTTCAATGAATGAATTCAGTCAACCTACAAATCACCTTCTTCCAGCCTCCAGAAAACAAGTTACGTTTCACTAACGTGTAGCCTCCAGGGCGGGGGGCGGTATTCCCTTATATGGGTTATATAAGTATGTGCGGCCTCAACGGATATGATTTTTCAGCCGTTTTGGTCATAAATAGGGTATCGATTTGGCCATTTTGGTCTATAATAGGGTATGGCTTTTGTACTCTAGTCTTGAAATGGGCATATTTTTTAGAAAAAGCTACTTTTTGATCATTATCGATAAGACCATAAACAAAACCCTTCAAAAATTATGTTAAGGGCAACTGTGTCAGCCTCAACGGTCATTAACAGGGTATCGAATTGTGATAAGTTAATAAAGATGGTGAATTTTAAGCTCGGTAATGAAATGTGAAGGTAAATTGACCAACATGACACGAGCGTGGGAATTTTAGGGTATCGAATTTTTGGTCTGGTCATAAATAGGGTAGGGTAGGTAGGGTTCTTGGAGTAACCCCCCGTCCCCCTCCCCGGGGTGGCTATATCAAACATGTTTAAGTAGTCAACTGTTTCTCTACGTAGGTATTAGGGAGCTTAAGCAACGACGACGACGACACCGAGGACGACGCCGAGGACGACGCCTAGTAAAAAATGAATTTATAATTTACAAGCGAAATTCGCGATTGTCTAGATCTGTTCGGTACGCCAATGACTCTAAAAACGTGCTTGAGCTAAATATGCAACGACGGCGTTCAATTCCAAATGGAAATACGAAAAATTAGCCGTTGTCGTCCACGTTCCGTAGACGACGCAGAACTTGGTCATTTCACGTTGTTGTTTTGCAGAGGACGGCAATGAAACGTACAAAGATACGCACGTGCACAGCTATTGTTTTCCTCATTAAACCTTTTGTTTAGTGACGTTCTCGTTGCCGTCGTCGTCGTGGTTTGCTTAAGCTCCCTATTCAAAGGAACTGCTGCAGGGCTGACCGAAAACATGTTTTCATCACATGCAAATTTGTATCACCGAACCTTTCCAAAAAATGTACGAATAATCCTTTGATGTTTTACTGTTCATCTATATCTACATTTGATTTTGTCGGTAAAGTCGTTAGACATCACACCAACGTTAGCTTTCTTTTAATTTTCTACAGATTTATTTTACTTTTACCAGCATGGGGTTGCTTAGTTTTCGAGTTACATTTCACTTGAATGGTTTTGTGTCATCCTGTCCCGGGGTGTGGTTTTGACTGCATGAATACTGTATCTCTTCGAGCTTCAGTGAACAAAATCACTTAACTCCTATTGAATGTTTCAAGTCGTAGTGGTCGGAATACTCCAGAATGAACTGTTGTTGACATCAGCCGAAGTGAGTGTACATGTATACTAAAGAAGAGTAGCAAATTACCATAAATTTTGTCTCCTTAAAAACTGAAAGGCCGAGGGGGTGAACCACAATGTCAACAAATTCCTAGCTATGTGGTCCGCGGCGTTCGTCATTTTTCGCGCGCAAGCGAGCGATGTTTCAGTGGCGCCATGGCACCTGCCGCCGCGTGCGTCAAACGGCGGGAAAATGACGCGTTTCCGTGTGTCGTGTGTCATGTTTGCCCACTCTGCATTTTTCTCCCCTTAAACTGGAAAGGAAGCGGTAAAAGAACATTTTCTTTAAGTATCAAGCGGTACAGGAAGACTTTTTGCCCGGGTGTAAACCACAAAGGTCTGCTCACCGACAAACCACATTAGAGTGAATTTGTGAGAGTGTCGTACGACTTAGCACGGATTAATGTGATATCACAGCAAGACTTTCAAATAAAGTAGAGCTCCAAGCGATGCGTTTACCGTTGCAACGTGATTAAAACGAGAAGCATAGCAAAACGCGTAGACCGAATATCAGTCCGAAGTCTGCTGGCTGGTGTTTGATCAAAATGGTGCGAAAAAGGCGGCAAGAATGCTCCAACTCCGTTTGTTCCAAAAGAAACACTTTTATTTGTTAGCCAGAGTCGTACAATACAAGAAATCCGTGGCACAATCGCTTTGTGATCAAAGCCGATGCACACACAAAAGAGAACATTCAGTCGCTGTAAACTTGTTTACAATGAGATCAAACGCTGAGGGCAAAGCTTTTGTAGTCTCTTTGTTTTCAGCGGTAGTTGTCATAGCAACCAAAATCCTTTTGTTTCGGGAGGCACAAGTTCAATTAGCGCGAGTGCCGTGATTGGTCAATTGGGCACGAGAGAAAGAGATACTGATAATTATTTAATTAAGATCGAAATGCGTGGGACGAGACTTCAAATGACGTATTTTTAATACTCTCGCGACCGTTTGCGTTAATAATTTATGAACCGATTCACTAATCGTCAACAGAGTCGCAACAGGGCATAACATCCTTTGTCTTCGGCTGCGAACCTAATTTAAATTATTCACCTGGGTTGATGACTCAAGATGCTTTCACACAAATAGTCCAGCTAAGATATTTCCCCTCTCCTTCGCCTGTACTCTCGTTCACTGCATTTCTGGGCAAAAGGTTTTAAAGTTCCCTGTGGTACTTTATCTTGAGTACCAAGCTCTCCACAGGAAGTATAAACAGCCCGCACGGGTCGAATTTTACAGTTACAAACCACAGAGCGAGGTTAATCAGAATGCCGAGTACAAGAAATAGAAGCCGACTTACTGATCAATCAAGCAACAAGTTTGCCGCAAGTGATTTCGAGAAGAAAGCCCTGGCACCCCGGGTGAAAAGATGTAAACTTAAAGCGAAGAAAGCGCAAAACAACAAGAAAATCAGTGAACAATTTGACGACGAAGACGAAGGTATGGTTAAACGGGCGTATTATTTTCTGATACTACAAAAATTAATTATCTTTTGTCAATGCTTAATAAACTTTAATAGACATGGAACAAAAGTGATCTGAATTACAGAAAGGTTAAATATGTAAAGTTTTTTTCACCATGGATAGTTTTCTTCAATTATATCGACCATCACTGATTCACAGGCCGTTGCAGTCTTCCAAACTGAACTATTCATTTCATAAAGAGGCACTCAATTATATTAAGTCGTTTAGTAGGGTATACTCGAAAGTTTCGTCCCTAAGCGTTTACGCGATAAGTTACGTCACTATTTTGCCGAAGGCTAAACATGTTCTGATTCATTCAGACTGAATATTTTCGTGAATGCTTTTTGTACAAGCGGTGTAAGCTGCCTTGACCAATTGACCATTAGTTCTTTAGAAGTTGTACGTTCTGTAAGAGCTATTTAAGTTACGTCGATAATCCTTGTTATTGTACGTAATTGCCCTCTGGAGAGTCAAACCTGGCTGATTCAAATTCCCCTGCACGAAAAGTTTGGAGTGTCGAACTTGCCTGCTTGACTGCTCGCAGCCGACCGCATTGTAATGTTTTGAAAATGTTCTCGTCTGAGTTCGTAACAACAGAGGTCAAGCCAAGAACGCGAGCTGACCAAAAAGCGTGAAAACAAAAGCGATCATCTGCTGGAATCATGGAAAAGTGCACGAAGCGTGTAATACGCATCAAACGACAACGCGCTGAGTTGTCGTTCAGCCACAAAGAAAGGATTACCTGTCAGAATTGAGAGGTTTCACGATAAATGACCTATCATTGTCCCGGCTTAATATTGAAGCTGCTTCCACGGTGATTTGGTTGTGATAGATGGGCCTAAAACCCACCAAAACTCACGGAACTCAAGTTCAAGTTCATTTTAGAGCACGAAGGATTGTCTGCTTGTGCAGCGCGCGAAATGGTGAAGTCGCGTCGTACCACTTCATGCAAGAACAAAGAAAATGAAGCTTGTAAGTGGCGCGCGATGAAAGCACCGATTTGTTCGTTTCCGTCTTGTTGACAGATCTGTTTCGCTCTCCACACAGGCGTCGAGTTTATAATGAAAGAGAGCAAGTCGAGAATATCCCATGGAAATTCAGCTGCTCCGAAAACGAAGAAGGAACAGCTCACGGAAACATTATTGTGGTAAGTTTATGATTTCCTGTGGAGGTGTTGGCCGCAACTTTGCGCCTCAGCATTTCAAAAAACGTTTCAAGTGCCGCTTGAAGATTATAATTCACACTTTCAATCCTTCTTTATGCCCAGTTATTAAGAATTAGAACTGGTCAGCTTTCTTTCAATTCAACAACAGTTTATTTTAATGGAGTTAAGGTGCAAGAAATTTGAAGTGGAAATCGCAAAATACTTATTATTAAAAGTGACTTTGCTGCTGCTAGAATCGTAGATTTTGCATGCTGTAATACTGGAGCTCACACGAATTTGGAAAGTTCGCAAACTCGGTTTAAGTTTTTAAAGAAACCCATTCGTGTTCGCAATTTTTTAGCTGACGCAATTGCAACACTCGTTTAGTAGAAGTTGACAAAAGTCTTGTCTTGATTTATTCTTTTTTTCGAGCCGTGTTTACAGTAAACACAGTGTTTTCATCCCATTTGCATGTCACTTTAGTCTTGGCGTTTTGAGCAACACCGATATCACATTTAAACGGTTTTCGTGCTATGTTATCTGCTTTGATAAATTGCTTGGATATGATATGATGATATACCGTATTTCCTTTTAGGCAAAAGGCTAACGAGCCTTCACACGCTTTCAAACAGCGTCCGGAAATTCGGCGGAAGATTAAATTCAAAAATATACAATGGGACACAAGTAAATTTAGGTGTAGTAACAGTGTGAACTACAAACAACAGCAATTGCTGCTTTCAATCTTCAAAGAGGGAATCGTTTTAGCGATAAGCCAGGCTTCCACATTTATTGACCTTGAGGAGCTGTTAATTAGCTTTCTTGAAATGCTAGATACCCTTGAAAGTTCTATTTTGGTCTTCTCGGCAAACTGTAGTTCTGTAGCTGTCATTTAAAGTAAACTCTGTCAGCCGTAAAATAGATGAATATTTCTCGACTCAACAGCTAGTAAGGCGATAAACAAACAGTGCTTTTAGGCCTTTCATCGAGTGACGTTCATAGTGGAAAAATGATCATAGCCGGACAAAAGCCTTGACGCACTCGAAGGTTTGGAATTGATATCGGCTGATGTCACCCTGGCAGAAAATACGCGAAATATTTTTACAGAATTGTGCAATCCGGGATTCTGAAAATATTTATCCTCGTTTAATGCGTTTCCTTTTGAGAAAAATGCTTTTAATAATATATTAACGAAAATACCATTAGAGAGCTCATATTTCCAAAATGTTTTTAATTGGTTTAAGAAGTTAAAACCATTTTTTTCGCGCCCGGGCTTTATAAAACTCCAACACAATTCACAACTTTTAAATAAGCTTTTATTTCTCTGTAATACCCTCGCGACACTCGAACATTTCAGCATTTAGCAGACGAAGTTGGTGATTAGTCCAATTGGACAGTGACCACCTGTTGATTTTATTCGCCGGAATTGGTTTTAAATTTTAAAACTGCTCCTAGTACGTGACAATTTTAGAACCTAGGACCTGGGATTTCTACTTGGATCGAGAGTTTGTTGACATCAGGACGCAGTTCCATTGACTCGCTTAACCGACAATTAAAACGTTGCGGTTACATTCGATGGAATTGTCGATCTAGTTGTGGATACCTTCAGGTACTTACAAAAGACCGGAAAACAAATTCTTGAACCCCTTGGTGGCCTCAGGGATCTAAATTGAACACTCGAAATGTAAATTCTTCCACACCTGCATTTGAAGGTTTGCGGTGTGGTTGGCTGTCTGCGGTAATCAAAATAACTTCACGAAAAGTAGAATCTCGTTCTATAAGCCCAACAAAAACTCGTGAAATTGGTGAAAACAATTTTCTGATTCGAAATGTAGTTTGCTTTTTTGTCAAAATTGGACGTTGCTTGACAAAAAAATCTTCAACAGTACGTTTAATTACTCTTCTTTAATGCAATCAGGTTCAATTAGCGGCTTTATATCCGCTTATTGTGGTCTTCCCTATGACGTAGTGGTTTTTTTAACAGACTCAAATTTTTGCAATGAATATATTTTTATCGAAGATCGACGTATTTGTTTGCCGTCAAGTGACTTTCCTGAAGAATTGTTTAACTGTCGAGAGATCCTTAATTTAGCAACTTAGAACATTGCCTTCTGATCTCAAAGCGATCACAAATCCATTGTTTCAAGGGATCAGAAAAATCGAAAATACTAAGCGAGAATGATTTAGTTTAAGACTGAACGCAACACTCGTAAAGACGTAGCGTGTAGAACTTGTTTATGTCTGGTCTGGGGTCGCCGAGATAACTCGCGCTTTCCAATTGATAACCGACACTTGAACGAAGAGATTAGCCTGTGCGTGTTTCCATTACTGCTCAATTCTTGATCATCTTGATTCTAAAGGTCGGAAAGGTTCCTTGTTATAAATAAATAATGACATAGCCCTTTAGCGTGTCCACTGTTTGTTGTTTGTATCAAAGCCTGAAATTGAGCCACCTCGCCTGCTGCTAATGCTCACAAAAAATTTCAAAAACTGAGCAGAGTGCAAACAGAGTCTAATCAATGGAAATAAAAAGAGAGTATTATCCCGAAATTCCTTGAGATTTCTTAACCCTTCCAAGGGCATTCCCGTTCCCGAGGACCCCGCTTCTCGAGTCCAAACTAAAACGAAGGCTCTGGAAAGAACAGCGCTGCAAACTATAGTCTCTTGGCGCATGCGCAGACGATCTTTGGTGCATCACGTCTTTTGTAAGTTTGTTCATGGTCTTGAACAAAGATTATGTGACGTTTCTAAGTTATCTGCGCTGTCAAGCTAAGCAGTGTTTCGCGCAACTCTTTTGCCTGTCGGTATGAACAATTGCGCGACAAATACTGAAAAATTCGCAGACATGCATTGTGAAGAGTTAACTTGACTCTACTTTGTGAAACACTTTTTACGGGCTCAGTTGCACCTTTACTGATTAAACTGATGACATCTGTTTTATACCAAGAGATTAATCTCTTGTTTAAACCAACAACTTCTTGTATCTTGCAAAATTGCGAGATGAATTTCAACAATAATATTGCTCACTGTAGCAGTGCCTTTTTGGACAGATGCAGTGACGTTCCTGCCCCCTGTTTGTTGTTAAATCGCAAAAACCAACCTTACAGTTTTTTTCCCCCTTCACTATAAACCAGTGTATTTCATTGAGGGTTTTTCCTATGGCCGTTCTTGTACGAATAAGTGACCAGTTACCACAGCAGCACAAGTCGTGCTATACACCAATCACTGTGAACCACACATGGGTGTAGTACGACTTTTGTTTGAGCAGCGTTTGTAAGATTTAAGGGACGCAAGATTGAAGGAAATCCATCGCTAGACTTACAGCAGTATTTTGAGTTATTTTGGCCACGTACAAAATTACCTGTAAATTTTAGGAAACCTGAAAATAATATTTTACTAAGATAGAAAAACACCAAAGACATAATTTTAAACCATAAAGGAACAAGAATTGTGAAGGATGGAGAGGATTGACACGGATTGCAAACGGCAAACTTTTCCAGATCTGCAAACCGTGACGTAGCTTTTTTTTTTTTTCCTTTTTCTAGGCTTGAAGAGAATTATGTGATGTGTGAAGGTGTGTGTCTTCCTCGCTGTATTCTTTACGCTCATTACCTGGATTTCTGTCGAAGGCACAACGTTGATGCCGCCTGTGCCGCCACGTTCGGGAAGGTAAAGAAATTTGCTTTATTGAGTTAAAAATTTTGTCCTCCCTCTTGTTTCTGTTCTCATTATGACTGTCAACGGCCTTTTCGTAGAGGCTTATTCCAGTGGTATTTCAGAGAATTTACGTTTGGTTAGCGGTTAGGCTGAGGTTTGTTCATGAATACAACTACCATGATTCCCTGCAAGCGCGCCTCATAGAGGGAACTGGCCATTGGTACGATAAAGCTCGTGCAACAGGCTCAACCGATCAGATAAATTATTTTTATTGGCCAATCGGATGCGGTGAATGAAAACAAATCGTGATCTGTTTCTTGGGACTGTACCCGCGGTTACATTATGTTTTTTACTATGATCGAGTTGTCATTGCTTTCATTCAGCCATAATTTCACCAGCTCGCATTTGATTACGTTTTGAGCACTAGTTCCTTCGCTCTGATGCAGTACTAACGCTCAAAAAGAAATATCAGTTGCTAAAATAAGAAAGAATAGCGTCGAGCGTAATTAACTTTTTGTTCAAAGCAGACCACATGTCTCATTATAATTTGCACTTCTTCTTGGAACTACTTTAAGTCGTGTTACTAGTTTCCACAGAAAGTCTTTCGGTTATAAATTGGAAAAGGAGCCACGCGAGAACGAAATATGATTGCTATCACATTTCGTCTTTACGATCCTTCTGCTCTGGAAGAAGTTGAATCTTAATTCTGAACAATTGCATTTAAGCGTTGCTTCGCCTTAATTATTTTAATAAAGATTTTTCGCAATTTGGAAATGAACTGTTTCCACACGAGAGAATGCCTTACTGATGAAAGACGTACAAAAACAGGTCGAGTGAATTTGACACCCTTAATAATTGTGCATTGGTTAAATTAGGCTTTTCGAATGTACCCAGTGCATGTATTTTAAACTACAGTTGTTGTTTTTTTCATGGCTCCAAAATTATGGAAAACTTTCACGACCATTATCCGCTGTTTTGTTTTGTTTTGTTTTCTTATTGTTCGATCAGTCTTTGGGACTATTGAGAGAAACATTGTTTTCGAATGATTTGGTTAAAAGGTATATTCCAATAACTGTTAGGTAGTTCAACCAAAAAAACGGGGCTGAGCAAAGTATTCTAGAAGGATATATTTTGCCCGTTGTAATCGTCGATCAGTCAATAAGCTCCGGAAAACGAGTCTGTTTGTTTTCTAAAGTTCTTTAGGTATCTGTTTCCAAGAATTCCCTTTGAGAAAGGCATATACTTAGCAAAATATTTGTTAAGTTTATGAAACAACCTGAGACTATCCTAATGAATATTATTCTTTTTACTTGTAGACGATACGACTGAAATTTCCTCAACTAACAACTAGAAGACTTGGGACTCGCGGCCATTCAAAGTAAGTTGTCATCAACTGGAATTACTTATCATTTGAATCGCTAATGAGCTCTAAGATGGCGATTATTTAAACGAGCACTTGGCTAAATATACAACAGCATCGACCCTCTCGAATTAATCCTTTTTCATCTTTTTAGATATCACTATTACGGAATTGGCATCAAGGAATCGTCGGCTTATTATCATTCAGTGTACTCAGGCAAAGGTTTAACAAGGTAAGGAGATAATTTTCCGTATTGCCTTCTTGCCATGCAATATTAAACGACATGTCGCCGCTCGTTGTAATTAAATGGACCACCGTGGAAGAATAGGGTTTGTTTGTTGAAGAGACAAAAGATGCGCCGGTCCTTTCTTATTGAAAATTTGTAAGGGATGAAAAAACGGAAATTTGGAAATGTAAACTGTACATACTGTAAAAAAATATTGCAGCGTTAATGCTTTAAATCTGCTCTCTTAGAACTGAGTTGTTGAGAAACGGGAAGTTTCTCTGGGTTTTTTTGCACCACCAATGTTGAAGAGTATTTCTGCACATGGAATAAAAGAAATCTTTCATACATTTAAGTTCAGTTATTCCTTTTGACACATTTTAAATTAAGGAGACTGTAAATCAAAGCCAGTTATTATTAAAAGAACAATGCAGCACTAAACATGGACGGACGACAAACTGAACTGATAAAGGCGTTTAAAAATAGAAAATGTAACTCAACTGAAAATGAACCGGAGCATGCTCACAAATTGCAACTTTTATTGTTGAAAGGACAGAAAATTTCAGATCAGATAGGAAGTATAATGTGTAGGTTCAAGGTACAATATATCCGCCCTGTAAGCTCTCTTAAGCTAGGAATGCAATCTCTTGATAACCTTTTTTAATAAGAGTGAGACTTTATTAAAAAAAAAATACCGTTTATCCATTATTCATGAAAAGTGGCTTTTCACCTCACCAAAAATTAACACTAGTTGTTTTAGCTCCCTGGTTTAGCTTTGTGTTTTCGAATTCCATTTCTTTTAAATCAAAATCAAACGTTTACTATAAGAACTGTTTGGTTTGTGGTCTGTTTTTCCAACGCTATTGTAACCATCTCCTCTGTTTATATTTAGGGTAGGGCTTTTTTAAATTTTCTTTTGTAATCGGGTTATTAAGCAAGCTTTGACTGTTAACATTCGAATCACTCTCGAACTGTCAAAATAAAAAGGTTACCTCGCCTCAAGTCACGAAAAGAAACTCGATACAACGAAGAGAAACAAAGGGTGGAAGCACTTCTGCTTTGTTTTATTCATGTACAAAGCCCGTAACGCCGCCGTTTTAGAAATCGTTATTATTTAAAGTATCAACAGTTACTTGTTAACTTTCCCGCCCACGCATAGAATTGTATTCTGATGTGCCCGTGGATTGCTAAAAGTTACTACATGTAATAAAGATTTGCCAACATTTCTTGGTGCTGATGGTTTACCACTGACTGACCTTATATCTTTTAACGCTCGTTAGTTTAGAACAACATCTCCAACGAGAGCAAAGCTATGGGCACCGTGACATTTTGAAAGAAGCAAATTTAGAATGTATTTGAATGTTTATTAATAGCAAAGCACTTTACAGAGGAAATTCCCATGCAGTGTTCATCTCTCAAATTCGTTCGTTAAAAGCGTAGGTAAATGTATTTGTGTTCTACTAGAAGAGCGGAAAGAAACCGGTTAACCGCGTTGTTTGTTAAATTTACATTCAAGCAAATTATAACTGAATGTTCTCTGCCTTGAGCCAGCGTATACGTCAGTGGTAGTGATACCTCGTGTTCAGTTACATGACAACTAGTCGGTGAATATCAAGTTTAACCAGTTGAAATCCATCGATTGACGTGCTTGCCAAGAGAAACTGGTTTAACCTGATTTTTCTATAGAAAGTCCTTCACCCAGTGATATACATTTTTCTTTATTATCTTGTTTCAAACAGATTTTCTGGTTCAAAAGTAAAGAATGAGGTAAGGAACTGATGTTAAAAACCAATCTTAACAGCACAAAAAGAGAAAACACTTTTGACTTGGTGTTATAACGAACATCCATAATTTTGTTGAAACTTTTCTAACCAGGCACGGCTGAGGTTTAGCTGTGTTTGAGTGATGTATTTTATCCCTAGTGTTTACCTTTCTTTTTTTTTTTTCTTTTCCCTTTCTCTATCGTATCGTTTACCATAACACTTTTGCTTTATTTTTCTTTTTGCGCAGGGTTCATTTTCAATTCGGAAATATTCACTCAGCTCCAAAACTGGAACATTATTACCCGATTTTCCAAATCCAAGATTACTGGAGCTACCGGAAGACATTTCTCTTGAAAAGGTGAGATCCTACAATATCACAACCTTCGTTAAATTTACCGCTGCTTCTTTCCGACATCTTATTGGCTTGAATTGATCACATGACGAAATAGCACTTATCTAGTAATAAGACCGACTGTTGTTTCTTCTCATAGATCAGCTATTTTATGAAAGAAGCTCGCATGCTGGTCGCCATGACAACGAATGACATAAAATGCTTTTGACCCAAGCAGCGTGTATCAGACAAAAAAGTATTGAGATCCTGCAGACGGCAACTGGAACTCAGATGCCTAAAGTGAACAAGCAGGGTACCTTTCTTCGTACATTTGTTGTGCTACAAGAGTGTAAATATTTCTGACTGTTTATTTTCAGGTTGAAACGTTCGTGGTGATGTACAAGACTCACTGTCAGTGCATACTGGATACTGCCATCAACGCTAATTTTGACGAGGTACGCAATTGCGTCCACCTAACCCAACTCCTTAGTGTGGAAATTAGTTTTGTGTCTGCTTTATTCGCTGATGTAATTGGTCAAGAAAGCCTTGCACTTGCGCAGCCAATCAGATGCAAAACCAAAACTAGCCGTGATTCAGCTTGCTCCGCTTTTCCCGCGCTTTTTCTCTCGAATTCCGGTTGGTTACTTCACTGCTCTTTTTCCCGCTTTATTAGTGGCTGTTACAGTTGTTTCTTTTGTTTTAGTTTAAGTCTTAACCCTGTTTTTTCAAAATACGCTTCCGATTAATCGAAAAGAAAATTTAACAAAATCGAAGGACAAAACAGTCTGAAAGTCGCTTTGTTAATTTGTATGAGGCGTCATGTACAACGCAAACTTGGTCCAGCGAAATGTCGTTTTAATTTAAATAAGAAAATTAGTCGTCATTCTTTCAATAGTGCTCTGTATCGGTTATTGGCCAGGTTTGGTGGGAAGGGTACCTGGTTTTATGATATCTACATGTCGTTAGAATCGGTCGATGTGTTTCACGAGTATCAATAGTGAGATTAGAATGCTATGGGATTTAAAGATTTGTTTTGTTCTACTTGATATGTTTTGGTTTCTGGTTGTAAAACCGAACTTGACGAAATGGTATCTGCTTGTCATTTCAGATAAAAAATTTCCTCCTTCACTTTTGGCAAGGAATGCCAGATCATCTTTTACCGCTGATGAACACGGAAGTTGTTGCTGATGTAGTTTGTGTGTGTGATTCAATTCTCTACAAGGTAACGAGATGAGCCCGTACTATCATAGGAAGTGGACTCTTTAAAACGCCAGAATACAGAGCTTAAGTAAACCACGACGGCATCGGCGTCGGCAACGAAAACGCCACTAAATCAAAAGGTTTAATGAGCAGAACAAAGGCCGTGCACGTGCGTTATAAATAATTGTACTTTTCTTTGCCGTCCTCTGCAAAAAACAACAACGTGAAATGACAAAGTTCTGCGTATTTAGAGAACGCGAACGACGGCGGCTAAGTTTTTCGGATTTTCATTTGGAACTGAACTCTGGCGTTACATATTTATCTTGAGCAAGTTCTGAGACTAACAGGCGCACTGATCAGATCTAGACAATTGCGAAATTCATAGGTAAAATATAAATTCATTCTTTACTAGGCGTTGTCCCCGGAGTAGCCCCCGTCATTGCTTAAGCTCTCTCCAAGGTCTTTACGCCAACAGGAAAGCATACGTCCTCGCGAAACCGTTTGTATTCGAAGTTGCAAGATAATGGCTGGTTTGCAGTGTCACGCCATCAAAAATAAAAATCATAACCATACAATAAATTAAGTCAAGAAGCTGGGATATGAAAGATGATTGATATGTAAACAACCTCGCCAAGATTTAGGTCTGTGCGGTTTTTCATTCTCCCGTTACGTTATTCGGAGAAGTGTTTCACTCAAATTTATAGATCTTTGTGTGGAGGCGCCATGTTTGTGCCCCTCGGAGGGACACAAACATGGCGGCCGTAAAGTGACAGAAACATCTGTCATCGAGTTTTGCCACTGAAACGAAAAAGTATTACTCTAGAGTTCCGACACATTAAAATCAACACTTCTTATAGAGCAACAACTGTTTAGTTAGCAAAAACTTGCGATATAACTCATCTTTTTGAATACTCGAGAGCCTTATCGGGCCGCCATTTTAATGTCACACAACGCATAAACTTGGAAATTCAAACCTTGCTCTATTACATAATGAGAACCCTGTCGAGCTTAAACGCTGCAAAACGTCAAGTTATTAAAGGGTCTTACATCTGATGAAACTAAAACTTAAGAAGGATTGGTAATTTCTTATTTTGGAAAATGATGACTTCACATGAAAAGCGGCAATATGCATTTCATAATTTCCGTTAACTATAACGGGAACTTTGAAAACCAAACAACTTAAAGTAGATAACGTGACATAAAGAGGGTAAAACTAGGTACTTGTATTGATAAAAACTGATTTAGTTCTGGCCCTCGTACACAAATAGTTTAAAAATAATGAACATTCCCAAGTTACATTGTTTTCTACCTATCGTGAGGAAAAGATTTCAGTCATTACATACCATTATGTTGGGAGGCTGGATTTTAGCAAAGTTTGCTCAGTAGCATTTTGGAAGGATACGATGGGCCTTTCACTCAAACTCACTCAAATGTTTCTTTTGCATAATGTAATATATAAGTAATTTTGAGTGTAGGAACTCTCTTTGTAAAAAACGAAGGGTAAATAGAATATGTTGCTGTCTCTGTCAGGTTTTAATGGATGTTCTTGTGCCGTCCACGATGCAAGATGTTCCGGAGGGGTAAGTACTGTGTTCAAATTTTAAATACGTTCTGAGTTCAATCTAGTGTTCTGATCAATTACGACGATTTGTCGTTCCAGACTTCTCGCTGATATCAGGACGTTTGCGAGACATCTGGAGTCCTGGGTACTAGCTGCAACAGTTGAGCTGCCAGATTATCTTAAAATGGGAAAAATTCAAGGTGTGTTGAGAATGTGCTTTTTTAAAATTAATAATCTACATTCTTTGTAACCGGATTCTTATTAGATCTACACACCTGTTTTTCTCCAACTAACCATGTTTCTCTTTTTATTTATTCAACTGAAGCTGTGAGACGTTTTGTTCAGTCACTGAGAAGGCAAACATCTTTCTTACATCTTGCACAGGTAAGATAAGGCGATAACTTTGAAGAATGTGTGAAAAAGCACATTAATCTTCAGATTTCTATTGTTCTATTCAAAATTCTACTTTATTTAAAAAAGAACCGAGAAAATCTTATTTTTCAATTAAGCGACTCATTGAATAGGCTTCCTTTTCCTTCCAAAAGATAACGGGATCGATGACAGGAGCCGGGAACGGACAGTTTTAAAAGGGGCACAATTTAAAGATCAAACGAGTTAAAGATTTAAGTAACCTAATTTTGAGAGATTCAATGCATTTTAACATCGTAATTCCTGGGTTGAAAACACGATAAAAAGAGAAATGGCAGTCTAAGAGTAGTGCAAACTGTTGAAGTTACTAATATTATCTTTTAATTTGTTCCAGACTTCACGTCCCGTTTTAGCGAACCAAGAAGTTGTTGATCACATGGTGAAAGATATCGAGAAACTCGATAACGGAGGCACAGGGAGACCAGCACTGTGTACAAAAACTGAAAAAGACTGCGAGGATGGATTTGACAATGAATGTAAGCAATAGTTTGGACACCAACTTTGTTTGCTCCAGCAGTTAATTTTTCCGCCTCAGAAATAACCTTTCAATTCCTTTATTTTAATTTTTAGTTCTTCAAGATTTTGTGGATCTTTTGCGGGAACAGGCGCCTTTGGAGTCGTACGTAGAATGGCTAGACAGACTGGTCGAGACGAAAATCATAAGGGTAAGCTCTTATAATGTGTTATTCACCTGACATGCACGTGATATGTGACATGCATCGAAGTGCACGTGATATGCACGTGATATAAAATGATACGCATGTGATATACACGAAGACCGACGTCATCCCGTTCGTGTACTTCGTCATATACATGCACTTTGATGGTGCTTTGGAAAAGTAGCTAAGGATCGAATACCGAAAACAGAGTATTGTACTTTAATACGAAAAGTCGTTACCTCTGGAGGTTAAACACGTATTTTTAAAAAAATTATGAAGAATGTGATAGAAAGGTGCATTTTCACTAATGTTATCTATTTGTCATCCTTTTACAGCCCTGCGAGGGAACTGGTGACGACTTTAAGAGTAGAGCCCAGGAATTCCTTTTAAGATGGTCATTCTTGGGAGCGAGGCTAATGCACAACTTGACCCTCAACGCCTCGTCATACTTTGGTTAGTGCTACGGTATTTACTTTGGTTTATGGCTGGGCGAGTTGTCGATTCTTATAATCCATTACAAAGCAAGTTACTTTTCCGATTATCAATAAGATAGCAAAGAATAGTAATATCAGTTCTAAATGGTGTTAAACTCTCACTGAGTCTCTCTGCCAATGAGTTGTGTGATGGAACAACAACCACGACATCCTCGCAGTCTCATCAATATTGTTGATCCTAACAGTATGCAGTGTGTGCGTTTTGTACGGGAACGTATTAACATGTTAAACATGTTTAAAAGTGGCTTAACTAAGAAAAAAATAGTTGCTCATACCGTGCACACTCCACAACTTAACCAGGCAAAAACGTGTTTGATTAAAAATAAAATTGAAGAAACCTTAACCTGATTAGTCTGAATGGGGTATAAGAGCTTTTCCGTAGCTTATTAGATAGAGAGCGCCTGGTATCTGGGAGGTCATTGGCTCAATTCTCTTTGGGGACTGAGATGTGTTTTGTTCCAAGCTAGCGACATGCTGGAAATTTCATCTTCTGTATTTTCACCAAGCATGAAACACTGTCTCTCGTGTTTGATATATTACTTGAAATTTACAATTTTTCATTATTTATCCAGAAAATAATTTTCTCTTTTCACTAGTTTGCCTGGCCAGGGTTGTTCGAAAGGTGTATAATGCTATCCGCTAGATAGATCATTATCCAGTGGATAGCGTGGTTTGTTTTGTCAACTCTTATCCACTGGATAGTGATTCATCCCGTGGATAGTGTTATCCACCTTTCGAACAACTAGGGCCAAGTCTTTTTCAGCCCTTTGTCTTACGTTTTCTTGCCATTTTCAGGTTCATTCCACCTCATCAGAATGCTTCTCGATGAATACATGTTGCTCGTCATCGAAACAAAATTCTATAACGAGACCGAAGAGAAGCTACAGGAAATGTTGGATAGACACTTGAAAATGGGTAAGTGGTGATTTTTATTCAGAGCAGCAGATGATCTAGCTCGATGTTAGGGCGTTATCCGTTGGTAATATTTTGCCTTTTGGATTCACAACATGACGATGTTGTAATATTCCAAGATTCTTATCTTCTTTGCTTATCTGCTGTAGCACATTTCGAAACGGTTTTTTTATTCCGCTTATAAGCCCACCCGGATATAAGCCCATCCAAAACCCCTTATGAAGTTGTATATTAGTGGCAGTTTACGGTATTACAATGAAAGGCAACGAATGATGTTTTTCTCTGTTATTTCTTTTTGTTAGGCGAAGGAGTCGACAAAGATAACTCTCCTCTTCGCGTGCAGACTGTTGTCACAAAAACCAAGTTTACCGTTCCCGACAGCGTTGTTCTAAACGGTGGCAAATTGCCTCCCAAAGTGGAAATCATAGAGCCTGAATACACCGGCAAACCGTCCAATCGCAACAAGCGAACAAAGTCACGTGACCAGTTAAACGGCCTGAAACCGAGACCCAAGAAACTCTCAACTCATCGCCTGAGCGCATGCTCTATGATAAGTGAACCGATGTCCCCAGCAATGAACGGGTTCCCGCCAACACCGTTGGAGTCGTCCGCCTTCATTATGCCTTCCCCTAAGGAGAATTTCTTCCCTGGTCACAATGGAATGCCTCAAGCGCCCGTGCTCACGCCTCCCGTTTCGCCAGCGGTGTCAACAGGGTTACCTAGGAACGCATTGGGAAGCAGCAACTTCTCTCAAGTGACGTACACAGCTCTGGGTGAGAAGAAGCAACCATGGGGATACCCCATAAATGGCGAAGTAAACCCTTCATCTGAGGTGATTGACAGCTTAGTAGCGCAACACTTCAACAGCTGTGGACTGGGAGGATTCGTGGCGCCAACTCGGTACCAGGCTCCAGCGACCAGCGAGAGTTGTTTCATGAACAACGTAAGTGTAACTATCGTTTTTATAATTTGGGATTAGTCATCTTGCATCAGATAACCTTTCCATTTTTTTTAAACAACAGCTAGTGCTAAATTCGGATTAAAATTCTTTCTCAGGATGTTCGTTATAAGTAAAGATAATCGTAAGAATGCGAGTGCATTAAGGATTTATACTACTCGTGATATTTGAAAATTCTCTCAAAATTGCACGAGCCTTTCGGCGAAGGCGATTTGAAAGAATTTTCAAATATCACGAGTGGTTTTAATCCTTAATCGCTGGAGCTTTGATACGATTACTTATTTCTGATATGACCGAGAAAATTACGAACGCGCGCGCGTTAATTTACACCGTAGTGGAAATAAAATATTAATGATAAATTTGCCAGCTCTAAACCTATCACAATGAAACAGTTTTCTCAGTCATATAATAAAGTGATAATTTGTTGGGGTTATCCCACATGGAATGTCACGTTCTGTTTCAGGCTTTCCCGTTATCATTACTAACTGTGTTTACTGACCTTTCAGGGCTATGCCCGCAACCCGGAGTACGTCCAAAATGGCGCGGCTCATACAGCTGGTGGTCATGGTCCCCTACCGTATCACCCCATGATGACCTCTGCGAACACACCCTACCCGCACGTAACGCAAGCCTACTACATGCCTGTAACGCAACCTCCGTCACGCACCCACATTGAGCACGTGACCACTAGCGTAGAAGTCCCGATGATGGCTTGTAACATAGTTTACTCCGAGGCATCAGGAATGTTGGATGAGGGGGTGGGGGTCGGGGATCACGCAGACGAAAACGATGAGTACATCAACATGACTGTTCATAAGCTTTTTAACGGGGACTGTGAGTTGGAAAAAATGGACTGCGTTGATGAACCAGGAATTCTTCCCTCCATAAATTCACTTCTTACAGAAGCAGCCATATAGATCGCATATGAGAAAGTAGTTTATTACAAATGTACAGAGAGATTCAGAAAATATTTTTGCGACTTGTTCAATTTATATAAATTTTTAATATGATACTTTCTGGTAACTTTGGTTAGCTGGTTTTTCTTACGTTTTAGAAGAAACAAATAACACGGGAAAAATAAATTGCTAATCCATAGAAATGTATTTTTGAAAACAACGAAATTACTTCTGTTTATGTTAAAATTAAGAAATACAAAGAACAATTTGTCCTTTTTGTACAGAAAGGAAGAGCTTGCCTCTCATACCAAGAATTAACGTAATCACTTTAAAATTCCGTTTGCGCTTGATTCTTCTCCGTCTCTGAAACTTCTGGGAATTGATGTCCGCACGTGAGGGAAGCCTGACATTCAAATAGGAATGATGACGTGGTCAACGGAGGTCCGTGAGGTGCTCTGATTGGTTGGTTAGTTCTGTATCAACCAATCAATTTTTCGTGTTGAATGTCAGACGTGTTGCGCGCGAGGAGAGGCATGTGTTTACTTCTCGTTAACTTTCTTGGGTGACTGTCTGCACAAACAAGGACAAAACGGTTTTCTATTTCCATTAGGAAATAATATAAGACACCCATAGGAGTACGTTTCAGCGTTTTCACAGAGTTATAGAAACAGGCCTTAATCTGTTCAACTGTGTGTAATCGGGCTCTCGCTGGTTTTGTTCCTTATGTCGAAAATGAGAAAGAAATTTGTTTTATTTAGCCACCAAACAGATTCGCAGGAAAATAGTTATTCGTCGATTTTTATCACTGATACAATAAACAGCGCTCGAAATGTCAAATAAGATGAAATTGCTCTCCCGATTTCCCCATACTCGCTAAATTGCTTTCCACTCAATTGTGAAAACCACACCACTGCTAATCTGGGGCTTGTGAGTTCGCATTTTCACATCTACGTCATGGCTAATTCGGCATAGTTGTTTAAGACGCAAATATGCTCATTTCCATGTGTCGATTTTGATTTATATAGTTACATATGTCATGTTGATAATTGATAATAAGTATTAATTAATTCTAAAAGAGGACCGAATGAAAATGATTAAATTAATTAGAAGGATCTACTCATCGTCTTGGTACAATACACATTCTGTAAAATAGAAAATACAATGAAACGATATATTTTCATAATGTAGCAGGTTTAACGTTGTAAATATTTGAACATTTTATATATGGCTGTTTTGTTGATAAACATGTTTTTGTACGCGAAGTTTAGGCTAAATGAAGTTCTATTTTGTAGACGAAGAAATCAAGAAATATATTGTTAATAAAATTGAAACTTATTGATTGGACAAAGTTTAGTTACTTGTGAACTTAAAATCTAACTGGATATTACGACAAGAACGTTTATTTAGAACTATTCCACGATAACTTTAGTCTTTTTTCTGATGTAAAAAAATCTTTAATTGAAGAGGAAACATCAGAACTGGAATTGAAAGTAAACTCTGCGTCCCAGAAGCCGCGATCCTTTGGTTAGAAACCGAAAACCCGCGGTCACTGGGGGAACGAGATTGCTGCCCGTGGACCAAAGGAGCCCCTATAGATCAGTTGACCGGTCAGTGGACTACAGACTACAGACTGCAGACCGGAGGAAAAACGCAGACTGCGGACTGCACACTGAAGACCCGGGGTAAAATGCAGACTACAGACTTTTAAGTATATGTCGAAATATAAATCTAAATATCATTTCGTCGGCAACATCCAGAAGACATCACGCCAACTCGGAAACATTATCGATTGCTAATCGTAAAAAGGGTTATTCAGGCTAATCACAGTGAAAGTCTACACTCAAGTTAGCCTGAATATCACTCAGGTTAGCGTGAATAACGCTCTCATGGGTAGCATGTTTACGGTTCGCTTTATTTCGAGCACAACTGTACTCCCCGCATTTTTCTAGCGGTTTTCTTTCGCGTCACACACGACGGACTAAGCGAAAGAGGGATTACTCGTAGTCTATATACCACGAGTCATTTAGGCGAGTGTTTTTACACCAAGAAGACACAAGTCGAAAAAGTGTTGCGTATTAAATATTTTATACCATGCCATAGAAAATACAGTGGCCAACACAATGCAGTGTACGATGGTAAGGTTGGACGTAATACCGTCTAGTACACAACGACTTTAATTTCCTGCTTTCCGGTTTTTAGGTTTCCACCACACCAAGTACATCTCTGAGTACTTGATAGCTAAATGTTTAGTCACTAGCCTCGCATTTATATGTACAAACGCAGAGCTCGTCTCCAAATCCTCATTCCTGTGCACTTGGAAGGGACTCTTTGCAACATGATCCATTCTGGAAGGAGTAAGTATTTGCTTCCCACACACAAAGGAAAAACAACTAATGTACAAGAAGTAATCAAAGTGCTCTATGAGAAAACCCGTCGATTTCCCAGTGGATGATGATTGATATGTGTGGCTTACGGGTTATTCTAGTTATACGAATTACCATATTGACTTCTGGCAATACTTGTTACAACAGCAGTCTTTGTTTTTTTGTTTTTTTTTAAGAATGACTTTTCGTGCATACTACATGACTTACAAGAACTGGCAAACCTTCCGCCACCATGAGCTGCATTGCTCCGATGGATTTACTCATTCTCGATTGAGCCACTCTACCTTGTAAATTTCTCGTCGCCTTGCATTGCTCAACATATTTTCTTCTCGCGTGAAGACGAAAGCGTAGTCTGCTTTACTCGGCTCAGCGCCGTTAGATCGAGTGCAAACAACAGACACGTTGATCCGTTAGGTTAACATCCAAGAACCCGCGAGTCCTGGAAACTAGACTGTTGTACACGGACCAAAGCAGTTGCCAGTGACGGACCTTATTCCAGTTTCTGTAGCATAAAATGACTTTAAGCATAACTACATGAATATGGGGTATGGGGTAGTGATGGGTTCCTGTCCCCGCTTGATGAGGTCCTTGCATAGGATGTATGTAGAAGCATACGAAACGTTAAGTTCTCAAATCAAGGTTTCTACAACATGCGTTGTTTTGTTATGTTTGTGACCACAGCTTGTTTTTTTTATTTTTACCACAGCTGAAATGGCCGAAGAATAAGAGTTTCTACCCCTTGTATTCCCCAGTATTTTTTCAGATTGTCTTAAGCTTTCTAGTTCCTCATCCTTCTTTACCGGACCCGTTCTTTTTCGGGATGAACCCGGGCGGGAGAAGAGATGTTCTCTCTCTAGGACTCACTTGAAATGTAAAACATTAAACGAATGAATGAATAAATAAATAAATAAATAAATAAATAAAAGAGGGGAGAAGCCGGGTAATTACGACACTTAAGCCAATGAGTCCGTTTGTTAGGTTAATTATTTGTGCGCGTTTGGTTTTTGTTTGTTTGTTTGTTTGTTTGATTTTGCTTCTGTTTTCTTCCGTTTGCAAGTTTATGAACCCAGCCGAAGGCGAGTCTAAAAAGATTTCCTTGCGCAAAATGTTTCGCGGGAAACTAACGACGTTCGTAAAGTGAGCCTGCAATCTTGACAGGTTGCAAGTTGGCCACATGCGCGTGACTCATGCGCACTCGGTACGAAATGACACCGATATGACAAGCTACATCTAGAAGGAAAGTTGGGCAAGAGAGCGAGAATTTTAGACGCGAAATACGAGTTGCTTGCTTCATTTTTCCTTACCTTTGGGCATTTACCGGCTTTTAGGAATTCCAAGAAGACGCAGGCCGACCTGTTCATCAAACCTGCTGGTAATTTCCGCCAACATTCACTGTTTCCGGTGCTACGTTAAAAAGTTTCGTGCCCGGTCTATAATTTTGTGTCCGCCAAGTCAACTCGTCGTCTGTCTCCCAAAACCTGTTTATTCTTCACCTGTTTTGCTTCACGGCGTTTGATAATCACTATGCAAGCTTCAGATGCAGAGGTAGTGATGCTTGAAGATTCACTGGTTATTTTTTTTTGTGTTGATCTTGCGTTTGTTGGCGGGAGTTCTAAACAATTTATGTATGCTCTCTCCCCTGTTTGATTGAATTACATTACGTAGTGCCCGTTATGCATGGAGCAGTTGGAAATCGACGACGTCAATTTCTTCCCTTGTACTTGTGGATACCAGGTAAATACGTGTCGAAACTGTTTTCGTGGAAAAACTTCTTGTGACGGCTAATTGCTTCAGTACACAATGACTTGATGCGTATTGTACAACTATTTTATGACTGCACAATTTAAATTGTTCATTGATTTGTTAATATGAAATCGAATTTTTATGATAGACTAGTTATACAGTAATGTCTATGTCTATCGCTCTACCTATTCTTCTCTAGAACAGTTTCTATTTAGCGGGGTTGCGTACATGTAAGACTTAATTTCAAAAACGCCCACTTCATTGTCTAAGATATTCAAATACGCTTTTTTTTTTGTTATTTGTTGATAATGTTATTTCGTTTATTTCACTGAACTTGCAAGTAATTAAACTGCCAACTGAAAGCAAAGAAAATAATTAATTGAGACAAGAATAAGTACTGCAAAGTTTTTTGCTGTTGTTTATATCATTCTGCCACCTGTTGTATGATGAACTGCACTTTAGTGTGAGAAGAATGCAGGCAGCATGAGTAGAGTTCACTCGACTATTGTGCCAGTCAATGTCCTTCCCCTATTAGGTGGTGAACTTCTGTGTGAACAACTCCCAGCCTTAAAGGTCAGGACACTCCAGGCGACAAGTCATTGTGACACAACACAAGGACCAGTTTTGAATATGCAGCAACTTGTTTTGGAAGCAATTACAGACAATGCTGTTTGTCGCAGAGACATCTAGAAGCAACTTGTGATCTAGTGTGTCCTGACCTAAATAGCAGCCTGACCTAAAAAGTGGCTTGATTTAGAGGGGCTTTCTGTCCGTTAAGGGTGGGAGATTCTTTCTTTCAATGCCCCACTGATCAAGCTGTTACACCCGAATGGGCTTGCATTGAAAAATCAGGCAACATTGGGGAAACAGTTAAATATTCTTCCAAAAGCCAGTGTACTTTACTTTGTTACCCGGATCAAGTTTCAATACTCTGTGGACACCAGCAACTCTGCAGGAACTAAATTGCTGCAGTTTCAGCATGCTGTAAGTTTACTATTAGTAAAGTGCTTTGATTGAAAATTTACTTTTCACAAATGTTTGAGTACATGTACATGTAAATCATAGAAAATGTGCTGGGTTATGAAAAAATATCAATGTATTTTAACCATGAATTATAGTAACAGTAGCAGTAACTTTTACTAATATATAATAGGTTTACAAGCCATAGTAGCTCGCAGCTAGCAAAGCTATTCTGGGTGAGCTACTTTAGCTAAATAAGGTAGTTTTAATAATTTTCCAGTGTTGAGTAAAAAGATTTTTGCTATCTTTTTCTTAGATTTGTAGATTTTGCTGGCATCGGATCAGAACAGATGAAAATGGATTGTGTCCTGCATGTAGAAAGGTATTAATGCTCTGATTGGTTTCATGCTAATAAATAAAACAGGATTTGAGCAGCTAAAAATGTTACCCCCCCCCCCCCCCCCCCCCC